TTTCAGCCTGCATTGTTGGGTTTCCCAAATGTTTTCAATCCAAAAGCATGAAGCTACCAATTTTTCTTGGGGTTAAGTTAGTTATAATGTTGTTACAGAGCCAAATAAATGGACCAACTACTCGAAATACTGTCTCATCCTTGCTATCCTGAACCCAGGTGAGCAACAAACGAGTTTAACCCTGAATCCATGGTTGATACTGCAGCAGAACTACCGGGATGTATGAACCAGATGGAATAAAATATCAACATTTAAATACACATCAAAAAGTGGAGGGATAAAATTGACTCTCACAGCATCAATTTTAACATTTTCTCAGGGTTTATATGAGTTCAATCTGTTCTAGTGTTAATTTAACATTTTTGGAAATGTTAATTAAGTAACACTGGACCAAAGTTCCTGTTTAACTCCAAAATCAAGAGTTATATTAATGTTTTGAGAGTAAACAGATAACACTTTGTAGGGTTATCCTGATTTTTCTAAACAACACACAGTTTTTTATTTTAATTTTTTTAAACACTTTATTTTAGTCCATTTAAGATGAAATTATGTTCAAGACTGGTTCAAACTGGTTTTCTCTCGCAGGAGTTTGAAGTGGTGGGTGGGAGGTGCCAAATTAACACGAAGGAAAGTTAAATTAACATGAGTGGAAGTTAAATTAACTTCGACCACAACAACTCTGGCAAATAACCCCAACTCGAACCCCCATTTCACTTTCAAATAGTTAAAATAACACTTTTTGTGTTAAAAACATCTCTGAAATATTTTACCCTGAAATTTTAACCCTCCAGTTTTTGCTGTGAAGGCGCTGAAACTGTTTTTTGACTGGTGTTGAAATAAACTTTAAATTAAATATTGGAAATAGAGGTCGAAATCAGTTAGGTTTTTGTTTTTGTTTTGTTTAGTTTTTTTGACACTAAAACAGGATCATGAAATAGCAAACTGTTTTCCCATTTTATCATTTTTCGTTCTTGTTGAAATTCAAAAGAACAAATGGTACACGGACCATGTGTTCAGAGGAATTAAGAGCAAATAGTTACCGATTCATTTTTTTGCACCGCAGCTTTTGCCTCATTTATTCTCGACGAACAAACAAGTGACACACGAGACATACCATGAGCCTGAAGTCAACAGCTCCGCTCTCCACACATCACACTCACATGTAAATAATGCGTATCAAGTCTGCACACGTCACTCCCGCAACATTCTTCTGCTTCTCCAAAGTACACCACCAAATCAGTTCTGCAAAAATGACTTGAACTGGAACTGTCATTTTAAAAAGTTGAAACTGTCTGGATCATTTTTTACTCGTTCGGCAGCTCGATTTCAAACAAAACTATCTACCATTTCCAGATTTTTGCTTCAGTTGAACTTTACTTAATGCCTGTAACATTTCAAAGTGCACTATGTAACTTTTCTGATAGAATGTTCACCTCACCTGCTTGTCCCCATGGAGATATTATACTTTACTTTGTATACTTTGCCTGGAATGTTCCACAGTATGGCATTAAACTTATCATCTACTGGTGCCAAAAGATGACACCAACAGATTAAGTTGCAGGTCAGATCTTTGAAACCTTCAATAAATCCTTAATTAAGTGTTTACTAAGCCCTAATCATTCTTAAAAAGGTAAAGCTGCACTGTGTAACTTTTTGGTTGAGGTTCATCAGCTGTTTGTGTTGGATATACCATTTCTCTGTCTAGAATATTCCACAGTATGGCATTAAACAGCTCTACTGGTGGGTTTATAGCTCAAAAATACCTAGAAATCAGGCATTCTTACTGTGAGTGGGGTCGCCTCTCCACAGATCTGACTTGTAACTTGGTCCGGTTTGGGCTCCATGAAGGTAAAAAGGTTTAATAAATATAAATATGTTTCTTGCTTTGGTCCACAGTATCACTTACGGTGGTCCAAAGTAGGGATGGATATGATTAGTCGATTAATCGATAAACGATCATTAAGAATTTCATCGATTACGTTCATTTTAATCGACAAACCGATTGTAGGTTGCTGTGCATAGCGTAGGGTGACCAAACGTCCGAGTCCGGACATGTGTCTCTCTGCACTCAGAAGGAGCGAGACACAAACAGTGGGTCAGTCTGCAACGTGCCGAAGCACAAATGTGTATTTAACGTTGACTTGTACAAGAAATTCCACACTTTCTGTTGCGTTTGGGACAAGTGTGAGTCCATGTGCACAGTGTATAAAGCAGCACATATGTTTCAGTGTCCAGTGGGAAACAGCTCACCAGGACACCCAAAACATGAAAAAGCTTTGCCAGGTGAGAGTAGCGCAATGTCGATGACGAGTCCCCACCTCCCTCCCCCCGTACGGTGTCCTGGTTTTGACAAAGGCAAATATGGTCACACTAACCTGTATTCACCTGAGTTGTGCACAAGAGCTTCGTTTATGCAAATTAGCCATGCAGTTTTAAGTTTTGTTGCTTTGAGACTGAAAACTGCATTAACGGGCTGATGTGGCTCTAGAGTGGTTACGGTTTATATGTCGTAAAGTTGAATTTATTTATGCAGATTAGTCAGTGCAGATAGTAATAATAATGATGATGATAATGTTAATATAAAAACGTTAATGATTAACCGACAATCAATCGTTAATTCTCTCGACGATCGATTAAGATAAATTTGATCGAATGCCCATCCCTAGTCCAAAGTAAGAAACATGATCTGATGAAGACTTTTTTGGCGAAATGTTATTTTAAAATTTCAAAAAAAGCTTTGGACATCAGCCATTTGAATGTGCAATGCAATTTTTCACTTTTTTTTAACTATTCCTTGAATTTGCACCTCTACAAGAACTTTGTTGTGCGTTTTCGAGAAAGGTTTGAGAAAGGTTTAATGCCATACTGTGAAACATTCCAGACAAAGCAATAACATCTCCACAGAGAAAAGCGTTTGACGACCCTCCACCAGAAAAGTTACACAATGCACCTTTAATAAGCTTTTTTGGAGATATTATACTTCAGTCATTATATTTTGTCTGTTCCACAGTATGGCATTAAACTCATCATCTACTGTATCTCCATGGAGACAAGGAGATGATGCCAACAGACCAAGATACAGGTCAGATCTTTGAAGAGATGATCCATAAACTTATAAACCCTTAATTAATGATTTACTAAGCCTGAATCATTCTTAAAAAGGTAAAGCTGCACTGTGTAACTTTTTGGTTGGGGGTCTGTTAACTGGATATGCCATTTCTCTGCCTAGAATATTAAACAGTATGACATTAAACAGCTCTACAGGTGGTTTTATAGCTCAAAAATAATGAGAAATCAGGCATTCTTACTTAGAGCTTGGTCGCCTCTCCATAGATCTGACTTGTAACTTGGTCCGGTCTGGTCTCCATGAAGGTAGAAAGATTTAATTAAAGTGAAAAAAATGCATAGCACACTCAGACGGCCGATGTCCAAAAGCTTTTTTTTATTTTGAAATAATGTTTCGGCGTAACGTACGACAAATGATCTGACGAAGGCTTTTTGCCGAAACGTTATTTTAAATTTTTTAAAAAGCTTTGGGACATCGGCCATCTGAGTGTGCTATACATTTTTTCACTTTTATTTTACTGTTCCTTGCATTTGCACCTCTGCAAGAACTTCGGTTTCATTCAAGAAAGCTTGCGAAACATTCCAGACAAAGCAATAACATCTCCACGGAGAAAAGCATTTGACGACCCTCCACCAGAAAAGTTACATATTGCACCTTTAATAAGCTTTTTTGGAGATATTATACTTGAGTTATTAAGCTTTTCCTGGAATGTTCCACAGTATGGCATTAAATTCGTCATCTACTGTATCTCCATGGAGACGCCCACAGACCAAGTTACAGGTCAGATCTTTGAAGAGACGATCCTGCTCACCGTAAAAATGCAAGTTTTCCAAGCTGCTGTAGATAAGTTTAAAGTCATACTGTGGAACATTATAGGAATAGCATCCTTCTGGAGACCAAATTTAAGATCTAAACACTTAAATCTATCAGAAAATGACTTCAAAATAGTGAAATGATGTGTCCCTGCTGCAAGATCATTGGACTTTACAAGTTCTCTTAAAATAAACGACCTCTAGACTAGAATGAAGCGTCTGTGGTGAGTGTTCTTAAGTGTTCATGGGCTGGAAATAAGTTTATGGACGCTAAAGTTTTAGATAAACACACTCGAGTATCAAACAAATCTGTGTCACTGAATCTAAAACAAGTGAAGTGTTACAGGAGTAAACTCTGGTAAATGGATTGTAGCTTCTTTTAAACATTTGTCGTCTGAATTTTAAGATTTTCTGATGAGTTGAGTCATGGAAGAAATATATGTGACACATTTTTTAAGATTATACAACCAATTCAGAACCAGTAAGTAGAAAATAAATCTGAAAACAAGATAAATAACCTGATATAAGTCTTAAAATCTTGGTCAGATCATAGAAATTTGTAGTGTAGTAAGTAGTTACACAGTTCAGCTTTAAACAAACTGAAATTGGAAATCGATTACTTGAGTAGAGCAGATTTGACTTAAATCTTTCATTCAAGCAACATTTTTAAGTGCAAGTTGTATGAATTTTCTTATACACTGGGAAAAAAAACAATGTCTAGGTAAGAAAAAATGACTTAAATTAAGATTTGAGTCGATTCAAATGATCTACCAATGGAATAAGTGTGTTTTTCTTAATTCAAGCCACATTTTGCACGATTTGTTTCTTATTTTAAGCACAAAAAGTTATTGTATTTCTTATTTCTTGTTCCACTTGCAGATCATTGTACTTGTCAAGCGAAATTGACTCAAATCACGAACAAACTTTCATAATTCAAGTCATCTTAACTTGGCAAGATTTTGTTTTTTTGCAGTGTAAGCGCAAAAAAAACTGTTCCCTTGGTAGATCTTTTGGACTTGTCAATTGAAAAGTTCTCAAATCGAGGTCAAACTATCTTAATTTAATTTGTTTTTTGTTATTTTCGTCTTTAGAATCAGACATGCGACGGGTTGCTTCAGTACCTTGCCGGCTCCTCCGACCTCCTCGCTGTTGGACACCGTCGCGTTGAAGTTCTCCGTGTGCTGAGGAGCTCCTTCTTTTAGCTTCTTCCTCTCCTTTTTGGCTTCCACTCCGGTCAAAATCAAAGTCCAGAACAACGCAGCCGCTATCGCCCAGGGCCCTACTCCGCACCTCATATTGTCAACGAAAAAAAAAAAACAATCGCCGGGGCCTGGAAGGAGATCTGAGGAATTCTAGGAGATCTGAGAACTTCCGACGGCTTTATCTGCTCGTTTGGATGAGAACGCCGCGGCTCTGGTTCGACCGCCGCTCCACGACTTACTCAACTATGAAATGAGTCCGAGGGAATGCTCCAGTGGACTGACGCATCGGTGAAGATCTGACAGAAAATAAACCCATTAGTGAGATTTTTCACGCTCTCTGCTCTGTGGGGGGGTGTGTGGGGGGCGGCGTAGGAGTAGGAGAGGGGGGTCGTCCCAAATCGGGATGGTGGAGGCGATTGCGTGCGCGAGACTTCTCCTCCGCCGCGTCCTCCCGATGCTCAGAGAAGACGTGAAAAAGTCCCAAACTTTTGCACGGTCTTTGAAAAGCGGCTCACTCGTCCGGCGGGGTTTTGTTTTGGAAAACTGTCAAAATCGAGTCAAAGATCGTCCCGGGGAGCGTGGACGAGAGCCAGGTCGGATCTTTGCCGTGTCTTCTTCTTCTTCGCCGTTGGACCTTGAAGTAAAAGTAGAAGTTGAAGTAAATTGTGAAGTAGTTGTGTTCAAAGTGAAGTATTTTTGAATTGAACTGCCCCAGAAGGAGAGTTGGAGTGGATGCTGGTCCTGTGTGACTCGGAGTGGGTTTGCAGGAGGGCTCACGGTGCACTTTTATTATCAGCTCTCTCTCTCTCTCCTCCCTCCCTCTCCTCTCTCTCTCTCCTCCCTCTCTCTCTCTCTCTCTCTCTCTCTCTACTTTCTTTCTGTCATCACTTTCTCTGCTTTCTCCCTTCTCTCTCCTCTATATCTCCATTTCTTTCTCTCTTTTATATCTTCTCACTACTCTCCTTTTTGTATTTCCTCCCCCCCTTTCTCTCCTTTCTCTCTCTCCTCTCTCTTTCTTTCTTTCTTTCTCTCCCCTCTTCTTTTCTCCTCCTCTTTCTCTCACTGCCCTCATTCCTATCAGTCCTCTCTCTCTTCTCTCCTTCTCTGTCTCCCTCCCTCCCTTTCTCTTTCTAGTTCTCCCTCTCACACTCTCTCTCCTCCTCTCCCTTTCTTTCTTTCTTTCTTTCTCTTCTGTCCTCTCTTCTTTCCCCCTCCTATTTCTCTCCCTCTTCTTCCACTGTCCTCACTCCTTTTAGTCTTCTCTCTTTCTTCTCTTTCTCTCCCTCCCTTTCTCATTCTAGTTCTCCCTCTCACACTCTCTCTCCTTCCCTCCCTTTCGTTCTTTTTTCTTTCTCTTCTCTCCCCTTTTCTTTCTCCTCCTCTTTCTCTCCCTCTTCTCTCACTCCTATCAGTCCTCTCTTTTCTCCCTTTCTCTGTCTCCCTCCCTCTCTCCTCTCTTCTTCTTTTCTCCTCCTCTTCTTTCTTTCTTTCTCTCCACTCTTCTTTTCCCCTCCTCTTTCTCTCCCTCTTCTCTCGCTCCTCATTCCTATCAGTCCTCTCTCTCTCTTCTCTCCTTCTCTGTCTCCCTCCCTCCTTTTCTCTTTCTAGTTCTCCCTCTCACACACTCTCTCTCTCCCTCCCTTCTCTTCTCTTTCTCTCTCTCTCACCCACACACTCTCTGTTACTCTGTCACTCTCACACACTCAAACTCTTTCTCCTCCTCTCTCTTTCTCTCTCTCTTTTTCTTTCTTTCTTTCCTTCTCTCTCTCTTCTCTCCACTCTTTTCCCCCTCCTATTTCTCTCTCTTTTCTCCCACTGTCCTCACTCCGATCAGTCTTTTCTCTTTCTCTGTCTCCCTCCCTTTCTCTTTCTATTTCTCCCTCTCACACTCTCTCTCCTCCTCTCCCTTTCTTTCTCTCTCCTCTCCCCTCTTCTTTTCTCCTCCTATCTCTCTCCCTCTTCTCTCACTATTCTCACTCCTCCCTTTCTCTTTCATTCTCTCTCTCTCACACACACTCTCCCTCCCTTTCTTCCTCTCTTCTCTCTCCTCTTCTTTTCCTCTCCTGTTTCTCTCCCTCTTGTCCTCACTCCTATCAGTCCTTTCTCTTTTCTCTCTCTCTCTCCCTCCCTCCCTCTCTGTCACTTTCTCCCTCTCTCCTCTTTCCCTTCTTCGTTTCCCCTCATATTTCTCTCACTCTTCTTCCACTGTCCTCACTCCTATTAGTCTTCTCTCTTTCTCTGTCTCCCTCCCTCCCTTTCTCATTCTATTTCTCCCTCTCACTCTCTCTCTCCTCCTCTCCTTTCTTTCTTTCCTTCTTTCCCCTCTCACTCTCTGTCACGCTCTCCCTCTCACACTCTTTCTCCTCCTTTTCTTTCTCTTCTCTCTCCCCTCTTCTTTTCTCCTCCTCTTTCTCTCCCTCTTCTCTCACTGTCCTCATTCCTATCAGTCCTCTCTCTCTTCTCTTTTCTCTCTTTCTCTGTCTCCCTCATTCTATTTCTCCCTCTCACACTCTCTCTCCTCCTCTCCTTTCTTTCTTTCCTTCTTTCTCCTCTCTCTCCTCTTCTTTCCCCCTCCTATTTCTCTCCCTCTTCTCTCATTCCTCTCAGTCCTCTCTCTTTCTCTGTCTCCCTTTCTCTTTCTCTCTCTCTCACCCTCTGTCACTTTCTCCCTCTCTCCTGTCTCCCCTCTTCTTTTCTCCTACTCTTTCTCTCACTCTCCTTCTACTGTCCTCACTCCTATCACTCCTCTCGCTTTTCTCTCTTTCTCTGTCTCCCTCCCTTTCTTTCTATTTCTCCCTCTCACACTCTCTCTGCCTCTCCCTTTCTTTCTTTCTCTCTTCTCTCCCCTCTTCTTTTCTCCTCCTCTTTCTCTTCCTCTCCTCTCACTGTCCTCATTCCTATCAGTCCTCTCTCTCTTCTCTCCTTCTCTGTCTCCCTTCTTCCCTCCCTTTCTCTCTCTCTCTCAAACACACACACACACTCTGTCACTTTCTCCCTCTCACACTCTCTCTCCTCCTCTCCCTTTCTTTCTCTTCTCTCTCTCTTCTTTTCCCCCTCCTTTTCTCTCCCTCTTCTCTCAGTCCTCTCTCTTCTCTCTTTCTCTGTCTCCTTCTCTTTCTCTCTCTTTCACCCTCTGTCACTTTCTCCTTCTCTCCTGTCTCCCCTCTTCTTTTCTCCTCCTATTTCTCTTCTTTTCTCCCACTGTCCTCACCCCTCCTATCAGTCTTCTGTCTTTCTCTCCCTCCCTCCCCTTCTCATTCTATTTCTCCCTCTCACACTCTCTCCTCCTCTCCCTTTCTTTCTTTCTTCTCTTTCTTTCTCTCCTCTTCTCTCACTGTCCTCACTCCGATCAGTCCTCTCTCTCTTCTCTCTTTCTTTGTCTCACTCCCTTTCTCTCATTCTTTGTCACACTCTCTCTCACACACACACTCTCTCTCCTCTTCTCCCTTTCTTTCTTTCTTCTCTCCCCTCTCTCTTTTCTCCTCCTCTTTCTCTCCCACTGTCCTCACTCCTATCAGTCCTCTCTCTTCTCTTTTTCTCTGTTTCCCTCCCTCTCTCCTTTCTCTCCGTCCATCCTACCTCCTCTCTCCTCCCCTTTCCCCCACGTATTTCTCTCCCTCTTCTCTCCCCGCCCTCTCGTCTCTCCTCCTCTCCCTCTCTTTCTCCCCTCTCTACTCTCTCCTCCTCTTCTTTTCTTTCTCTTCTCTCTCCTCTTCCTCTATCTCTTGTCCTCACTCCTATCAGCCCTTTCTCTTTCTCTCTCTGTCACTCTCTCTCCCTCTCTCTTTTTCTCTCTTTTTTGGCACTCTGTCCGTTTCTTCCCTTCTGTTTTATCTCATTTGAAGCTGTGGGGTGAAAAGGTTCATTGGCTGTAGTTGTGCATAATATTCGACAAATTGAAAGTTAATAAGCATCACACCAAGCAGCTTTTCTTTTTTTGTTTTCATCATGTTTGTAATGTCTCCTTTAAGCTTCTGCCTACTGTGTACTTTCTGTTGCAACACTGAAATTCGGCCAAAGACTGTCTTATCTTACAGGATCCTAATTGACACTACGATCCCCCACTGATTTGTCCCAATTTTGTACAAGAAATGTCCTCGGTGTCCCTATTTTTGACCCATCTGATCCTGCCAACAGTTTAAAAAAAAAAGGAATATGTTGCCAGATATTTTCATCTAAATACAGAAAACTGTGCTTGAAAATGACCAGAAGACTCGTCGTATTCTGATTCACAAGTGAGTGGAGAATGAACCCAGTGCCTAATACTGTTTTTAATTACAGCTACCCGAAAGTGGGTGTGTCGCAGTTTTTAATTTTGAAATTGACGTCCATATTTACCTACGACAGTTCCGGTTTTGAGCCTCGTGTCCCATGTCCCAGCAGATTGATCTAAAACCAGTGATTTGTCCAAGTTTTATACAAGAGGTGTCCCTTTTTTTGACCAATTTGATCCCTACCAACAGTAAAGAGAGACATACGTTGTCATTTGTTTAGATAAAATACAAAAAATCTGGTTAAAAGTGACCAAAACACAAAGAAAATGTTAGTTATGAATGTTCTCTCCATAACAATTTTCCTTAATTACGCACTTTCTTAACCATTTTATTATTGCCAACCACCAAAAAAATGGGGGTGTCCAAGTTTTTTTATTTTGAAAATCTGGTCACCCTAAAGTTTAAAGTCAGGTCCAGGAAATGAGAAAGATCCATTCTGAATTTCTAATTTGCTTTTGCAAATATGGTAAAAACTGGCCAAAAAATAATCACAAAGTCTTATAAAAACAACAAATTTTTTTAGCCTTGACTACTACTTTAACCACTTACTACTACTACTACTGTAACTACTACTACTACTACTACTAACTACTACTACTACTGACTACTACTACTACTACTACTACTACTACTACTACTACTACTACTACTACTACTACTACTACTACTACTACTACTACTACTACTACTACTACTACTACTACTACTACTACTACTACTACTACTAACTACTACTAATACTACTAATACTATAACTACTAATACTACTAACTAATAATACTACTAATTATAATAATAATAATAATAACATGCAATAGTAGGGAGTAGGGTAGGGTGACCAGAATTTCAAAATAAAAAACTGGTACGTCCCTGTTTTTTGTTTTTTTGTTTTTTGTTTTTTTTGTTTTTTGTTTGTTTTTTGTTTGGTTTGGTGTTTTGTAATGATAAAACCGTTTGTAATTAAGGAAAATTGTTACGCAGAGACCATTCATGACTAATATCTGAGTCAGTATAGTCACATTTTCTTTGTGTTTTGGTCGTTTTTAACCAGATTATTTGTATTTTACCTAAACAAATTACAATTTATGCCTCTGTTTTCTGTTGGCAGGGATCAGATTGGTCCAAAATAGTCCCTATTTTGAACATTTCTTGTATAAAACTGGGACAAATCAATAGTTTTGTATAAATCTGCTGGGACAGGGAACACAGAGCTCAAAACTGGGACTGTCCCGGGTAAGTCGGGACGTGTGGTCACCTATAAAACTTGTAAAACAGCGCCACTTAGAGGTAATAACCAGTTTTACAACACATTTTTTTGACGAGCTTTCCTTTTACTCGCTACGATTTCAAAGTAAAAGATAATATGTTACGTGTAGGCAAATTCTACGCTCAGTCATCAAGAAAACTTGCACCATCTTTACTTATAAGCATATTATATGGCTTAGAACTCATTATAATTTAGAACGATATAAAATCATAAACACATTGTCATTTTATTTTGTTTTGGACATTTTTGTTAAAAGTCCGTACCGGAAGTTTACGCCTGCGTTTTATCAACTTTAACCACACGTCACCGGAGGGAACAGGTAAGCTAGCTCCGAAAAACTCAATTTACTCTGAAATGAAATTAAATCTGAAATCAGGGTAGAATTTTATCCACCTCTTTTGTAGTATATTTTCTGTTTTTTTGTTGATTTATCCTGGGATCTTTGCGAGAGAGCCACGTTTACAGGAAATGACAGCTGTGATCCAAGGCTGGTCTGGGTCCAGGAAGTTGAGCTAACATTAGTAGACCTGTGTCAACATTTATTCATTACTCAAATCACTTATTTTCACTATTTAACAGTCTCTAATGTTACTTGTTCATTCATATTGAAGGTTAGCGTGTAACTGTGTCCTTTATCGTGTGAATCATTGTTTGGATTGTCGGGAATATCCTGTTATTCTGTACAGATCAGATGTGGTTTGGCTCATAGTGGGTTTTTCTTTTTAATTTCGTAACGTCGTGTTCCCGTAATAATTAGAGGGGTTTTTCCGGAGCTGGAGTACCGTGAAATCTACGGCAATTCTCACCACTGAATTTATTTAGGTGAGCTAGACGAGGGGAATAGAAAGGGGAAGCTCTGTATCACTACTCTGGATTTAAGCAGGACTAAACTAAGACTAAACCAGGACTAAACTAAGACTAAACCCGGATTTAGCCACTAGGACTAAACCAAGATTTTATCAGGACTAAAGCAGGATGAACCCAGGAATAAACAAGAACTAAATTAAGACTAAACCAGGATTTTATCATGACTAAACCAAGACTAAACCAGATTTAACAACTAGGACTAAACCAGGACAACACCAGGAATAAACAAGGACTAAACAAAGACTAAACCAGATTTAACCATTAGGACTAAACAAGGATTTTTTTCAGGACTAAACCAGGACAAACCCAGGAATAAACAAGGACTAAACTAGGACTAAACCAGGACTAAACTAGGATTTTATCAGGACTAAACCAGATTTAACCACTAGGACTAAACAAAGATTTTATCAGGACTAAACCAGGATTTTACCTCTAGAACCTTCTCCCTGGCAGGTTGGTTATAGACATGTCATTTTCCAGGTCATTTCCAAACCTAAAATAATAATAATTTTTCTGTTGACGATTTTAATATGCACTGTGTAACTTTTCTGTTGTCGATACGGAGATGCTGCTTTGCTTGCAATATTTTACAGTACAGCATTAAACTTCTGTAACTTGCATGCATTCAGTTGAAGGCATTTTTATTACTAGAAAGCAAACAATACCTTGAAAAACATGCTTTCTTGAGAGTGGGCTCGCCTCTCTGCTGATCTTAACTGTAACTTTCCTGGTAGCTCTGCCTGCTTAACTTGTCTTGTTGGAGAAGATGGAGATGTTTAATGCTCTATAATGGAACTCTGCAGGCAAAGCAATAACATTCTCCATGAGCCTAAAAAGTTACGTGCTGCACCTTTGAATGTTCTTATTTAAAAATGTAGTTAGGAAGTGAACATGGAGTGTATGTATATGTTTTTTCATTCTCGTAAATTAAACAAGAATTCTGAATGTTTTTATGGAAAGTTTATTTGTAATTTTTGGAACAACTTTCTCATCTTTGTTGGTAATTGTCAGTGTGTCAGTATTTGAAAGAGGGCCCCATTGACCTTATTCTGCCCCACCCGCGTTTGTCTTTAAATGCTACTAAACAGCACGTTTGTTGTGGTGACTTCCAGTTAGGTGAGAATCCCAGTCATTTAAATGGAGAATTTGAGAAAAGCCTCACAACACGGAGGCAGAGTCAGCAAAGTGCATTAAAAAAAATGCAAAAACGGTTCCAAGTTGTTTAATTCGCAAACTTAAATGTCTCACCTGTCAATCTGAAAAGCTTTTTCCCTGTAAATGTCTCAAATATGAGTTGTTTCAGTGTTTTAAATGACAGTAGTCCATACATTTGTTTACTGTTGCTATTGTGATGGCCACAGAGCGGTGACATAGAATGTGACTGTAACTGATGCTGGATTACTTCTGCGTTTTGCGTTATTATTGCCTGACAGTTTGACAATGGAATTCTCACCGACCATTGTACAAAGTAGGTTGTAAAATGTTCATGTGCACCAACAAGTCAACAGAAAATCAATTGTCCATTCTCTGGGAGGCTTTAAAACGGCTTTGTAGTCCATATAGAACTTATTTGCAGTCTGTTCAGTCTTCACATTTCAGTTCCTCACAAGACAATTTTAGTTTCAGGTAGCTATGGCTATTTGGAGAAAGATGTGGCGCAGAAACCTTTTGTCCGTGTCCCTGCTCCTCTGTGTCGTCCTTCACTCTATGAATGTGAACGCGCGACCGGCCAACATGTCCGCCGCCAAAGAGAAAGCCCAGGACAGCAAGGACGAGAACGAGATCCTGCCCCCAGATCACCTCAACGGTGTCAAGATGGAGATGGATGGGCACCTGAACAAAGACTTCCATCAGGAGGTTTTTCTGGGCAAAGAGATGGAGGAGTTTGAGGAGGATTCTGAGCCGAGGAGGAACAGGAAGAAGCTGATAGAAATCTTCACAAAGTAAGAACGGATAAGGAAGAATATGTTATGCATGGAGTTGTGTTTTGTTTCATTCACACATGTTTAACACACAAACCCTGCATATTTAGGCTGAGTTCTTTTCTCACAAAAGTCAGAAAGTCATAAAACACTCCAATTTGTTCTTGTTCCACCTACAAGAACACTGTGTTTTTAAACTCCATACACTTTCACTAGAATCATTTGTGTAATTTCAGACCTGGAATTTCCAGTTCCAGTCCATTTAGGTCTTTGGAGGATTACGCAAACATGTGTGAATGAAACACAACTCTGGGTATGTTTTTAATGAGGTAACATGGCTTGAAGCCCACAAGAATCAGATTTGTGTAACATAAAACCTTTAATATTAGATTTAATCACCAATACGGGGTGTAGTATTATGTTGATGATGTTGTTGTTATTATGTTAGAAAATATGGCCCATAATAATAAACTATATTTCAGGGTTAAGGTTAGAAAAAACTACATGACCTGTACTTTGGCAAGTCAAAGCTTAAACCTTTTTTAAAAAATTGTAATTAAATATATGTATATTTCAAATATTTTTTATTGTTTATAATGTATATTTATCCTTTTCCATAACACATTTTGAAGCATGATATATTGCCAATCTAACGATAGAGGATAAAATAGAATATTGAAACCAAACCATAAAGCAGAATGATCCCCAAAAACTATTCAAAATTTATGATATTGTTAAAAAATATGAGCTGCAATAAATAAAAGAATGCAACAATTAGGTTGCATCTGTAATGAATCATAGAGGTTATTAATTCAACCCTCTAGAGCTTAAATTTGATCATAATACAGAAAAATACAAACAAACGTTTTCCCACTAGTACAAAGAAAGAGTACCCATGATAAATACTAACCCCCAAAATGATTGTTCCATCTTCCATGTATTGAACGATAAGTAGATAATAATTATAGTGACAGTTATGAGTGTCCAGAAAAGAGCTTTACACAAGTAGTGAATTATTATGATTAACCTCTGCTATTATTGTTCTCAGAGTTGACTTCGACAAAGACCGGAGCATCAGCGCGAAAGAAATGCAGCGCTGGATCATGGAGAAGACGGAGGAGCACTTCCAGGAGGCCACCATGGAAAACAAGAACAGCTTCAGAGCGGTCGACCCGGACGGAGACGGTAAGACACACACAGCAATACAAATTCTAAAACGGTAAAAAACTTAAAACGTGGTATTTGGGTTAAGAAAAGCACTATGTCTAAAATATTTTCGTCCTTGTTTTCGTCCTTATCACACATTTATTCTATTTGATTACATTCCTATGGAGCTCTTCCATGTGACTCCATAGACACAACAGGAACAATAGGAACTTTGTCTTGGTGAATTAAAGGTCCTGTCCTATGGCTGTATTGCTTTGCTTGGAATGTTCCACAATATGGCATTAAACCTATATCTTGGCATGTATTCAATTAGAGATGTTTTTTACAAGGATTCTTGCTGTGAGAGCGATTCACGTCTCCACAGATGTGACTCGTAACTCGCTCTTCTTGTCTCCATGAAGATAGATTAGTTTTGGGCCATATTATGTAACATTCTTAGCAGGTCTTGGGCAGAAACATGGTACATGGTGCACATTTAAAACCAAAATAAGTGCTAAAACACAACTCGCGGTGTGTCTTTTGAGGAGGCAGCAACATTTTAACAGGGTTTAAAGCTCAAGAGTCCATTTTGCGCAATATACAAACTTTAATCTTGACTACTCAACTTTAAACTGGATCAGTCAAATTTTGATTTAAAAGAAATTCTAGTATAGTGGAGTATTTTAAGTCTCGTCTTAAGACCCACTTTTACTCTCTGGCTTTTAACACCGTGTGAGTTGTGTGGCACTCTGTCTCTTTTAATTTATTTATTTTTATTTTTATTTTTTTATCATTTTTAGCTTTATACATTTTAACACTTTTTATTTATTGTTTTTATTTATAATTTACTGTATTTTATTGTATTAATTTGTCTGTGCAACATGTCATGTTTACAAAATCTGCTATAGAAATAAAGTGGATTGAATTGGATAAAACGTAAAATATAAATAGAATATTTTTCAGGTTTTGTTTCATTCACGCATGTTAGACTAATAATAAAGGATTACTCAGAGCATTTTGAGCTTTGGAGATGTAAACTATTCCACCTTGTGATGTCATGAAGCAGTAGTTTAGTAGAACAGCTCCTTTTTACCTTTTGTTTAGTAGAGATCGGCAATTCCAGGGTTGAAATGATCCAGTTGATTCTAGTGAAGTTGTATAGAGTTTAAAAACACAAGAGAGCACTTCCTGTGTTTCCACATGACATCACAAGGTGGAACTGAGTGTTTTCTGAAGAGCACAGCCTAAATATGCAGTATTTGTGTGTTAAATATTAGTGAATGAAACACAACTTCAGGCATATTTTTGATGAGGAAACAACATTACAATACAGATTAGAAGACCGTGTAATATGAGCCCTTTTCCTTTTCTTATCATCTCACATTTGCACTTTCAGGTCACGTGACTTGGGATGAATACAGAATAAAGTTCCTGGCGAGCAAAGGCTTCAACGAGAAAGAGGTCGCAGAGAAGATCAAGAACAATGAAGACCTCAAACTGGACGAAGACAGTAAGAATTAAAACACTTTGCTGCTGATATCATCAACATTCTCTGGGGTGTGATGCTGACCAGAGGCTCCGCTCTGTCTGAGGCTCTGTTACTCAAGTTAGACTCTAATCTGAGCTTTGTTTTAACACCATGTAACCATAAAGAACTGACTTAGTTGAAACTATAGCAGGTGAGCTGGTTTGTTCTGTTAAACAGGTCTCTCAAAAATTTGTCTCCAGCTCACTAGGATTATCGTATTTTCAGGACTATAAATTGCTCTGGAGTATAAAGTCGCATCAGCCAAAAAATGCATAATGAAGAAGAAAAAAACATATATGTCACACTGGACTATAAATCACACTTTTTGGGACGAGGGACCGACATTTCATGTTGAAAGTCAAGTTCTAGTAATAACAATAGAACAGAGAACAACAGACTGTTAACGTCACATATGAACAGTTCTTCAGATAAACTATAACATAAACAACAGAACAGAACAAGTTTACCAAACTCTCCATCTCACTCCAAATCACTAAATCCATTCAATTGTTCATCCTCGGTGTCACTTCTGAGCAACTCTCCGACCTCCGGAGGTAAACAGAGCACCGCTTCCTCTTCTGTGTCGCTGTCATCAGACTCGGCATCAGTTCCAGTTAGAATTATTCCGGCCTTTCTGAATCCAGACAGGATGGTTTTGGTGTCACTGAAGTCCAGGCTTTGTCCATCCAGTGACTTCCAGTAAAGTTACATGGTGCACCGTTCCGGTTGCTGTGAAAGCTGTGTTCTCCATCCCTGCTTTTCACCAGTTCCTCACAAGTTTCTCACTCACTCCAAACTTTCTTTCTGCTGCTTAATTACCGTTTTCGGCTGCATATTTCACAATTTGTAGCAGGACACATGCAGGAGACATGCGCAGTAGAGTGAAGTGACAGTGGTACAGGAGTAATAGTCGTAGCAGATACTGATACACAAGACTAGAGCCTCTCGCTGGTGTCAGTGTGAAAATTTTAATATATAAGTCGCACCGGAGTATAAGTGACAGGAAACACCCAAACCATGAAAAAAAGTGCGACTTATAGTCCAAAAAATATGGTAGTATTTAGAATCAGATGCACCAAAAGTAAAAAAAAAAACCTAAACCATGAACACTGTTATCACAGGCTCCTGAAAATGTGTTGTTTAAATCCATTTTGTATTTCCTGAGTTTTCAGACCATCTTACAGCATTTTTGGCAGTCTTTGGGCTTGTGCAGACTCTGTACCTGATTTTTTTTTTTTCCCCCCCAAAATGCATCTTGCCCCAGTACAGATTTATTTCATAAGCAGCTCAGGTCTTGAGGTCAAAATCAATCCTCTGAGCACTGCCTGCATATAATTAGAAAATGTTTTATTATGCGTGTTCGGCATGCCAGTTTGTTGCTTTACCATCACTGCAAAACTCTTCTCTAGCCTCTGAGATTTGTGAACAGCCTTACAAACTCCTCAAGGTAAATAATTCTCAAAACGTATAAGGTTGAGTGAGGAATATTTGGAACAGTGCAAACCAGTTCTGTTTTTTTGCTTTTCAAACCATGGAAGGAGGAAGTATGTGTTTTAAATCTATCTAGCGAGTTTTCCTCTCTCACAAACCATTTGGCACAGCGATATTCACAAGGCAAGTATTTCTGGTATGTGCAGAGTTTTAGAAAAGCTTCACAACATCACAACTTTCTATACACCAATAATATTTAATACAGATGGGGCTCAGCTAAAATGAATATTGTTATTGTTAGTTCTTGGGTCTAGGCACTCTTACAAACGATCTGGTTCAACATTTGTGCGTGTATCTTTTGGATACTTCATGGCAAAGTACAATCAATAATCAGAACTTTAGACACAACGGAATCCAGGCACTCGGAAAAAAAAGAAAAAGTTGGACGAGGAAAAGTAGAGTTAAAAGGTCTTTATTTAAATGGCCAAAGCCAACATGTTTCGATCACAACTATCCTGCGACTTTTGCTTTTTTGGAGCGTCTGGATTTCGTTGTGTCTAAAGTTTTGATCCTTTTTCCAAGAGCGCCCTTTACGTGTTCTCATTTAATGGAAAACTTTTAGCAAACACACATTTTTGTTTTTTTCTGTGCAATTTAATCAATGGGGAAATCTGTCTCTTGCTACACAACTGGAAATATGACGACATCACATTCTAGAAACTGAAAACACCAATAGTGAAGTGAAACTGCCTATAATCACTCTATCCCAGCAATGTTTACAGCTCTTACTTTTGAGTAAACAACAGATAAAGTACTTCATTTTTAGATGCAGACAGTGAGCAGTGGTCTGATTTTACTGTACATTCTATGGAGGAAAGCAGAAAATGTACTTATTTACAAGAATAAAGTCCTACACCCCAGCGTTAAATTCATTAATAATGAATAATGTAATATTTTAGTGTTTGTTAATGTTGGTTATGTTCTGTTTCAATAGGTTAAATGAAAATATTACCCTATTTTTTGGACTATAAGTCACACTTTTTTTTCATGGTTTGGGTGTTTCCTGCGACTTATACTCCAGTGCGACTTATATTAATATTTTCACACTGACAGCCACGAGAGGCTCTAGTCTTGTGTGTCAGTATCTAGTACTACTGTTACTCTTGTACCACTGTCACTTCACTCTACTGTGCATGTCTCCTGTATATAAAGCCGCTGTCTTGCTGCAAATAGTGAAATATTCAGGAGAAAACAGTAATTGAGCAATAAAAAGACAGCTTGGAGTGAGCGAGAAACCTGTGAGGGACTGACAGAAAGCGGGGATGGAGAACACAGCTTCACGGGAACCGGGCGGGTGCACGAAACTTTCCTGGAAGTCACTGGATGAATCGACAAAGCCTGAACTTCAATGACAATCGAAACCATCCTGTCGGGATTCAGAAAGGCTGGAATAATTCTAACTGGAACTGATGCTGAGTCTGACAACAGCTACACAGAAGAGGAAGCGGTGCTCTGTTTACCTCATGGATCTATGGTTATTTCCGGAAGGTTGCGCAGAAGTGACACCGAGGATGATGAATTCACTGGATTTAGTGATTTTTAGTGGAGATCGTGAGTTTGGTAAACTTACATTCTGTTGTTTATGCTATAATTATCAGAATAACTGTTAATATGTTACGTTAACATATTAATGCCTATTCAGTCTGTTGTTCTCTGTTCTGTTGTTTTTACTAGAACTTGCCTTTCAAGACGAAATGTCGGTTCCTGGTCTCTGATTTTATAAAATACATTTCCCCAAAAAGTGCGACTTATAGTCTGGTGCTACTTATGTTTTTTTTCTTCTTCATTGCGCATTTTTGGCTGGTGCGACTTATAGTCCAAAGCGACTTATAGTCCGGAAAATAAGGTATATAGGAAGACTGCCTAAGAATTGATTATAAAGTTGAATGTAACCAGACACTAATATTTTTATGCAATCTGTACCAAATATTGGCCAAGCGCACACTCTAAAAACAGATTTTTTTTGTCTAAATTATGACTAGAAAGAAAAGTAAGAAAGCATGTAATTCAAATGCTCTCTCTCATCTCAGACTAACCTTGCCCGCTCTCTCTGCTCTCAGCTCAGGAGGTGCTGGAGAGTTTGAAGGATCGCTGGTACCAGGCTGATAACCCCCCGGCCGACCAGCTCCTCAACGAAGAGGAGTTTCTGGCCTTCCTGCACCCGGAGCACAGCCGTGGCATGCTCAAGTACATGATCAAAGAGATCGTACGAGACCTGGGTATGGAGATCGCACTACTACTCTTCTGTTTGGCCTTCACGCTGTTTGTTTTCCTTTTTCCACTTATATACTTGACACGGGGATTTATCTCTTTTTAATTAGTAAATGGTGAGGTGAGGTTCATATTTTATTGATTTCAAATTCTTACTGAGCACCACAAAAGGACAGGCTATACATATTTAAAAATGTGAAATTAGCTGCTTCTCCGACAAAGCCACAAAACTCTCGAAACCCTGGACAGATTTTGTAATAGAAAGATATTCAATTGACACTCTTTTCATGATTTCTTTACAGTTTTGCACTTACATGTGTCACCTCTGTGCAGTATAAAAGTAAACACCATTTTCTGACAGCCCAGTTTTGTCCCTTCAGACCAGGACGGTGATAAGAAGCTGACTCTGTCTGAGTTCATCTCTCTGCCCATGGGCACCGTGGAGAACCAGCAGGCCCAGGACATCGACGACGACTGGGTCCGAGAGAGAAAGAAGGAGTTTGAGGAGGTGATCGATGGTGACCATGACGGCATCGTAACCATGGAGGAGCTGGAGGTAAAAACACTGCAAAAATCATGGAAAGGAAATTCAACTCTCAGTCAAAAATACCAATTAGTCGACCAAGACACTTTGTCATAGTGTCTTGGTCAACTAATTATTTGAAGATAATTATTATTATTTTGAAGATTATGAGGATTTATATAGGTCACACCAGAAAGGAGTATTCATGAAGTGAGTTTCTGCAGTGACATTTCAGTTTTTCCCTACTAAACTCTGTACATGGTGTTATAACAGGATTATCTGTTCCTAGTTCTTTTTGGCTATGTCAGTGCAACCCAGGTAATTTGGCAGCTTTCTGAAGAATAACTGTGTGCTGCCTCCACTGGCCACTGTTTCAAGCACTGTCTGACATCACACGACTGCTTCTCCCCTTTAAGGCTGGTTTATAGTCCTGCGTCAGAGATAAGGCTGTGCAATTATTCAAATTTTGATCACAATTTTAATTTGGGTGTCAAATGATCTCCAAACTCATATAATCGAGTTGAAACAATTTACCTACCAGTGAAAGTGAGGACCAGGGCAAACTTGGTGTCCTACACTGTGTGTAATGTGAGCTGCAGTACTAATTATCTCCATAAACTTACAGAGGAGCATGACTCATATCTGTCTCACTATTTAATAGATATTTCTGCCACTGGTCTTACTTTCTCCGCGAAAGTGTTAGCTCTGCTGTGCCACATGTAAACAAACAGTGTTGTGTCATGACGTCATCAGCCATGGCCCGGTTCGGTTGTGCAGGGGTGAGTGCTGAACATAGAACCCACAGCAGTTGTCCTAGTGTCAGTGTGCCCTAAAGTTTAACAAAGTTTATTTTGGAATATTTTTTTATATAAATAAGTATATTTATTTTAAGAATGGAGATTGTAGAACAGCTGGATATAGTTAATTTTGGATACATTTATGATTTTCTATGCCTTATTTCATCTTCAAATGATACTTTATTCATTTTATGTTTTATTCATCACAAAACTGCTCTGTACATAGTAGCCTATATTTATTTTCAATATGAAAGTTTTGCGTAATTTATCAATATCAAGTGTATTGGGGTTTTTTTTGAGAGAGAGAACTGCTGAATAAATGCATCGTGTAACTAAAAAAATAATCGTTTGAATAATCGTGATTTAAATATTGACCAAAATAATCGTGATAATGATTTTTTCCATAATCGAGCAGCCCAAGTCAGAGCTGATGTCCTGACGCAGACCCAAACCATACAAGCTTCTGCAGAAGAGGGAATCCAAGGGAATCCAAACCAATCACGGCCTTTGCATTCGGTGGAAATTCAACGTGTAATAACTTTTTGTTCGAGGTGCAAGTACACGGCACATACACAGCACACACAACTAGCTCTCTGATTGGCTTTCATGACGCAGAACTATGAAGCAGCCTTTAGTCCTCCAGGTTTAAAGCCCGGTTTAGTAGATCTATCCGAAATGTGGTTGTGGGCGGAGTTTAGTGTTGATTCCCACTTTAACAGTGAATCCTGTCGTCTTTAGGAGTACATGGACCCCATGAACGAACACAACGCTCTGAACGAAGCCAAGCAGATGATCGCTGTGGCCGACGAAAACCAGAACCACAATCTGGAGCTGGACGAGATCCTGAAATACAGCGAATACTTCACCGGCAGCAAACTCATGGACTACGCTCGGAATGTCCACGAGGAATTCTGAATTCTGGCAATAGGGAACGCTCACAATCTGATGGTATTACTGTGTGTAGTGACTATTCTGGCTTTTAAAAGTACTCTTACCAATACTTTTAAGAGAAAATTCCCATGTGGATTAACAAAAGTCTAAATATGGAAACAAAATTGCTCTACTACCTTTTGGTCATTCGTTATGACTAAACAAATGCGACCAGAAATTTGAATAGCTGCATTTTCTGTATTTTAAAGGGGCACTGTGTAACTTTTATGTTGGAGGATCTGTCACCATGTTTGCTTTGCCTGGATTGTTCCACAGTACGGCATAAAACATTCCAAAATATGGCTTTTTCTTTCTATCTCTCTGGAAACGAGCAGCGATACCACAAGTCCAAATAATAGTTTTTACCTCTAATAAAACTATAAAAAATGGAATGACTGCAACAGATATACCAGTAAAATGTTTAATACTGTACTGTGGAACATTTTCTGAGACAAGTAAGTGGGTATCCTCCGCTAGAAAAGTTACATCGTGAATCTTTCATTTACAGAGTAGCCCATTCCGACTCTTTGCACACTTGAGTAAATCAGTCACATGAAAAGTTCCCATTTAAAAAAAAATTCTCATTTGCAGATTTTTGTTCTGTAAGTAAAAAAAAAACTACTCAAGGAAAAAGCAATACACCGATTACGTTTTATTAAACAAATTCAAATGTTCCAAAATCATTAAGAGTACCTTTTTAAGAGACTTCTCGGTACTTCTTAAAACGCTTCTGGCTCTCTCTTCCTGCTGTACTGAACCTAGAGCAGCTCTGGTTTTGGTTTTGAAGACGTTGTTTGGTTTTTTTTGTGCAGTGCTGTCTAAGCGAGCCCGTTCTCACCGGGACGTATCTTTGGCGATCTTTATAACGCAGCCTTTCACTCGGCTGTTCTGCCTTTTCTGTGCCGTTGGATTTGTTCTAAATACACCGCAAAAACAATATCTATACGAGATTAAATGACTTGAATTCACCGTTTTGACTTAAACCGTTATCCTCTTTTCTGGAGAAAGAGGGTCTGCTTATCGTCGTGGAGATGTTACTGCTTTGCCTGGAGTGTTCCACAGTACGGCTTTACACCTAGAGGCAGTTCTGTGTCTTAAAAGCACCTCAAAACATGCACTTTTATTATGAGCGCAGTCGCCTCTCCGCAGATCTGATCTGAAATTTATCTTGCGGGCATCATCCGTGTATAGAGAGATGTTTAATGCTATACTGTGGAACATTCCTGGCAGCGAATCAATATCATTTTCACGGAGACCAGCAGGCGGCGAAGTTGAACCCTGCACTTAGAGCGTCTTCAATTCGTTTTGGCCATTTCAGATTTATTTACACATCGTAGTTCTTTTCTGAATTCAAGTCATTTTAACTCGTGGAGAAATCTTCTTGCAATGCAGCTTAACCTGAAGAATAAACTCGGCAGAAGATTATGTAATAGCTTATATGTATATGAAGAATTTTAACCTTTCTGTAAAGTTTTCCCGATGCAGCGAGGCGGGGAGTTCTACGAATGTTTTGTTTTTCTTTTCCTTTTTTATCTGTAAATCTGTAAATAATATACATTGTCATATCAAACTTTAGTGCGAAGAAAAGGCTGCTGGAAAAAAAATATTTAGCTGAGATGCAAAGGGACTCCCTAAACGTGCGGGATTTCGTTACGGGGCGGGACTCTAAGCCTTATATTAACCGTTCTTAAGTCATACCCGAACCTTGAAGAGGCAGGATCAGGGACTAGATTTGTGCGGATGGGCCATTTTTTTCATCCACAACCGCATCACAAAACTCATCTTCTGTCCGCTATCGATTTGCACCCACGGATTTTTGACCAATTTTCAAAACTGCACCCGCCCGCCATCCTGCTCGGTCTCCTCTAAGTTGCTCAGAGTTGCGAGTTTTTAATTTGTCGGAATTTAGTTAAAATATTATTTTTTGTCACGTCATCCGCCCAACTCCGAGTCCGTAGTTGTAACCGTCATCCGCACATCTCTATTATAGACATGTTTTATTTATTTATTTATTTTAAATGTCATCCGTGCATGTTTGAATCATTTAGTGATCTCTCCTTGGCCCTATTCGCTCCCACATGACACTTCTACTAAAAATACATGACATTTTTTTATAGCGCTTTTCAAGATACTCAAAGACGCTTTACATCAGGCTTGTCCAAACTATGGTCCGTGGGCCAGATGCGGCCCTCAGACTAATTTTTCTTGGCCCTCAGGCTTCCAGGTGAATTGGCCCAAATTACCTTGCCTCAATTAAAAATAAACTTTTACTTTTACTGATGGCTTATTCTAACGTGTTAAACATGCACATATTTCAATTATTTACTCTATTGAGCTCCGGTCTACGGCCCTCGATCAGCCCTCTGTTTCGTTTGTGTTTAGATATGTGGCCCTTGATGAAAAAAAATTGGACACCTCTGTTTTACATGAAGAGACAAACAAAGGCAAACAAGAGAAAAAGATAAAAAATAAATATACAAAAGCGTGACACAAAAATATACACAGCAACTTCACAAACCTGATGCAACGTGCAGTAGTGACAATGATTGCGTTGCGACAGAGTGACTTAGCACGGAGAGCAAAGGAAGTGGAGACTCCGAATGTCAAAAAATGAAAACGAAACTTATAAAACAAGTTAAAATGTTGTTTTCATTGAATACAGCATTTTCAAAACCATAAAAGGTAACACGGTGATCTAAATATGTGACAAGTTAGCAGTTAATACCCCATAGAAGTAAAAGTACCCCCTCTTTAACCTCAGAATGAAACACACTACTGGTCAAAAGTTTTAGAACACCACACTTTTTCCAGTTTTTTACCGTTTACTGTTGACCAAAACGTATTCTAAACTTTTGATTCATGAAAGTGTCCACCTTTGGCAGATATCACAGCTGAACACACTCGTGGCTCATTCTTTTTACAACAAATCAAATATTGTTCAGAAAGTTCCTCCCAAGTCTGTTGCAGAAGTTTCCATAAATGTGTGGCACTTGTAGGTTGCTTCACTCTTCTGTCCAGTTCATCCCAAACCAGCTCCATGGGGTTTAAGTCTGGACACTCCATATTTTGAAGCTTTACCATCTTGTTCTTTTTTCCTGAGGTAGTTTTGGCAGAGTTTGGACTTGTGTTTTGTATCTTTTATCTTTTTTTAACCTCTGTCTGTTCAGTTCTTACCTTATCATTTCAAGCTCTTCACTGAACTTGCACAACTTGAACTGCAATAAATAACTGGGAAAAACTAGGGCATTCTTAAACGTCTGACCGGTAGTAATCTCCACCCCTGTAACGAAATGGCAAATATTTAGGGAGTCGCGAAATGCAAATGAACTTTAGTCACTTTATTCAGCAGCAGCATGTTACTCTAGTCGTCACTGAATGAATCACACGAGACCATCCTGAGAACGAAATACGAATAAAAACTACAATGTAAAACGCGTATCCATGGGTTTCAGCTCCCTGTTTATAAATGCCATTTTGAGTACTTTTACCATTCAAGAAATAGAGATAATATTTAGTTTTGAATTGTTTATTGCTATGGCAACAGTGCACATTTGTCATCACTGAAACCCATGGATAGACATAGGGCTGCACATAATCACAATTTGATAAAATATTTGTATGTATTCTAGCAAAAACACAGGATAGTTGGAAGAAGTTCAATGAAATCTAAACTTAAAGACCTGTACCTGAGTTTTACCGTCTTAAAAAAACGTAAACACAAACTAGTTCTTAAACGATTCGCAACGGCTCCAAAGTTCTTCCGCATCTGCACCTAGACAATAAAATCAAGGCAATAAAATTCTTTCTAATTAGATGCAGACAGTACACAGTGGGCTTATTTTGACCTCAAGAGCTGCTTATAAAATATATCTATACTGGAGCGAGACATTTTACTCAAATACATGGAAGAAAATCAAGTACACGCCTTTTAGCTTAGATTTTAAAAATTTAAACTTGCAAATTCTGAAACAATTCCTCTATTTTGATTGAGAATACCCTTAAATTCAAACCGTCAGCACTTGAATAAGGTTTGTTACACAGGTTATAAATAAATAAATATACAAATTCATGAAAACGATTGGTCACAGTCCGCGTATTTTCAGACGTAACCGATAATTGTGCAGCCCTGTCACAATACATTGCACCATAGTGATTCTAGCACTAACTATTGACACACAGTTAGATCCGCCTGCGTGAGACCAGTCCAGGTGACTTCTGTGATAAAGAATATTTGTTTTAATATATTGTGTCACAAAATGTTTTATATTGACTTAAAGTTACAGAATTAACTACAACACTACTCCATAGAGACTGGGGCTTTTCATTGGTTTATGTTTTGCAATTTCATGTAAAAAAAAAATCCACACATGTTGAACCTTGAACATTCTGGTCAAGATTTAAGTCTACTTATGATAAAGCTTTTCTGTTGTTTTGCCATGGGAAAGTCAGTTAAGTTCATTGTCTTGTCATAATATTTCTGGTATTTCATATGGCATTCATTCACGCAAGCATTAAACCTTAAAGGGGTAGTACGTAACTTTTTAGGGTGGTGGTATGCTGCATGCTCGAATCTATGTAGCTTGATGTTATTGTGTTGTCTGGAAAGTTCTACAAACATTTAAATTTACATGGAGAAGCCAAGTGAAATCCCCAAGATACGATAAGCAGGTCAAATGTTATATTTTGTATGCACTAAAACCACCTACAATTTAATAAATACTGTATTTTTTGGACTATAAGTCGCACCAGAGAATAAGTCTCACTCTTTGGGGAAATGTATTTTATAAAATCAGAGACCAGAAACCGACATTTCATGTTGAAAGTCAAGTTCTAGTAAAAACAGAACAGAGAACAACAGACTGTTAATGTCCCATATGAACAGTTCTTCAGATAAATATAACATAAACAACAGAACAAGTTTACCAAACTCTCCATCTCACTCCAAATCACTAAATCCATTCAGTTCTTCATCCTCAGTGTCACTTCCATGTGACCTCCAGAGATAAACCATAGATCCATGATGTAAACAGAGCACCGCTTCCTCTTCTGTGTAGCTGTCATCAGACTCAGCATCAGTTCCAGTTAGAATTATTCCGGCCTTTCTTAATCCAGACAGGATGGTTTGGATTGTCATTGAAGTTCAGGCTTTGTCGATCCATCCAGTGACTTCCAGGGAAGTTACATGGTGCATCCTCCCGGTTGCCATGAAGCTGTGTTCTCCATCCCCACTTTCCATCAAGTCCCTCACAAGTTTCTCACTCACTCCAAACTGTCTTTCTGCTGCTCGATTACCATTTTTGGCTGAATATTTCACTATTTGCAGCGAGACAGCGGCTATTTCTGCAGGAGACATGCGCAGTAGAGTGAAGTGACAATGGTACAGGAGGAACAGGAGCAGCAGATATTGACACACAAGACTAGAGCCTCTCGCGGCTGTCAGTGTAAAAACTTTAATATATAAGTCACACCAAAGTATAAGTCACAGGAAACACCCAAACCATGAAAAAAAATGTGATATAGTCCGAAAGATACGGTAATATCTCAATGGAACTGAGCAGGTAGTGTACCCCCACCAGAAAACTTATATGTGCACTTTAATTTTTGTCAGTTTGAGACGCCAATCTTTGGAATATTATAGGTTCAATATTTGTGGATTTGATTGTCCAGGTTTTTTTTCAAAAAGGGGTTATTGCCCACAGAGTAATAATGGCCCCAGGTTTTCATTTCAAATTGACTCCTGGGTACACAGTTTATTCTTTATTTCCAATGACCTGTGGCAAGTTGGATACATTTTTTTCTGTTTCTGTGTTAATAGTGTAAAATAAAAATATCTTTACAGAATGTCATGAAGCTTTACAAATGTAATGCAAGTTTGCTGTTAAAATAAAAACCTCTTATTCATAATTGTTGGTTTTGGAATTTTGTGGGTTGTGGTCGATGGAGTGGGTGAGGCGTGTGTCATTTCCACAGTTAAAATGCATGGTTATGATTAAGATTTCACTGTAAAAGAGTCTAGATTTGTTCACGCTTGTTTTAGTCCTGGTCTAGTTAAGTTATGGTTTTAGTCACAATTTTGATGAATATGGATGCACCCCAATTAGTATAATGAGACTAAAGGAAACAGACTTTATTTTTCATTTTCATTCAAAAGAGATGGTCATCCTAAAAAAATGTATAAAAATATGAAACATTAAAAGATTTTCACTTCATTATATTAACCTTAAAGTACTTAAATAATCTACGGGTGTGGCTATTTTGGCATTTACATTCAGAACACATTTCAGACTTAGCATATTTAATAAATTATCCTGTGTTTGACCAAAAATGTAGCACGCTCATGCAACTCTTTGAACTAATAACTCCTGTTAATGAACAAAGATTATGCAGGAAAAAAAAAACATTTGTCTGACAAAGGCTTAGTGCTGAAATGTTGCACGGCTAATAAATCTGCTTCCTCTCCTCTAACGCACCCACCTCAAGTAACTGATGTGCAGAGTTTTGTTCATTATAAAAGAATTATAATATAAAAGATTACAATTTTTATTGAGCCATTCAAGCAAAAAAAGTCCTGTATTAATGCAAGTGTTGCTCACCAGTGAGTATTGTTTTTCCTCATCAAAAACAGGGGAAGTGTTTTGTTTCATTCACATATTTTCACTGTATTTAGGTCGAGCTCTTCTGTAAAACTAAACACTGCCACCTTGTGATGTCATGTGGCATTACAGGAAGGTGTATGGCAGGGGTCTCCAACCTTTTTCCTCCCGTGAGCTCAAAACAAAATGTCAGAAAGCTACTCGTTTTAGTTATAAGGATTTGAATGTATATAAAAGCCACTGCAAGCCTTAGATGCCTATAAAACAAACCATTGCTCAAAGTCAGACATCAAAATGACAGGTTTACAATGGGAATTCCTCAAATTTTAGTCATTCATAAATCCCTTTGTGGGCTACTTTGAAAAGGGGTAGAGAGCTGGTGTATGAGTTTAAACACTTCACTAGAATCATCTGGATCATTTCTACCCTGGAAGTGGCAATTTGTACTGAACTAAAAAGGAAAACCACCACTTCATGACATCCCAGTTGCACAGAGCATTTTGAGCTTTGGAGATGTACTCATTTCTCAAACAAAACACATCCAGGCGTTCATACTAATAAAGAGAACACAAGGTAAAGAAGTTTGGACAAAAGCGTTTTATTTAATATTGTATGAAAAAGATCCCATTTACTATATACACACACACACACACACACACGTTTAATATTCTTCCCCCTCGTCATCCTCATCTCCCCCAACACTATCTGCTCCCACCTCCTCGTAATCCTTCTCCAAAGCGGCCATGTCCTCTCTGGCCTCCGAGAACTCGCCCTCCTCCATGCCCTCCCCCACGTACCAGTGCACGAAGGCCCTCTTGGCGTACATCAGGTCGAACTTGTGGTCGAGCCGCGCCCAGGCCTCCGCGATCGCCGTGGTGTTGCTCAGCATGCACACGGCCCTCTGCACTTTGGCCAGGTCTCCCCCGGGCACCACGGTGGGCGGCTGGTAGTTGATGCCCACCTTGAATCCGGTGGGGCACCAGTCTACGAACTGGATGGAGCGCTTGGTTTTGATGGTGGCGATGGCGGCGTTGACGTCTTTGGGCACGACGTCGCCGCGATACAGAAGACAGCAGGCCATGTATTTACCGTGACGAGGGTCGCACTTGACCATCTGATTGGCCGGCTCGAAGCAGGCGTTGGTGATCTCGGCCACAGAGAGCTGCTCGTGGTAGGCCTTCTCTGCGGAGATGACCGGGGCGTAGGTGGCCAGAGGGAAGTGGATACGAGGATAAGGCACCAAGTTGGTCTGGAACTCAGTCAGATCTACGTTGAGGGCGCCATCGAAGCGCAGAGAGGCCGTGATGGACGAAACGATCTGACTGATGAGCCTGTTGAGGTTGGTGTAGGTTGGGCGTTCGATGTCCAGGTTCCTGCGGCAGATGTCGTAGATGGCCTCGTTGTCCACCATGAAGGCGCAGTCGGAGTGCTCCAGGGTGGTGTGGGTGGTCAGGATGGAGTTGTAGGGCTCCACCACAGCAGTGGAGACCTGGGGGGCCGGGTAGATCGAGAATTCCAGCTTCGACTTCTTGCCGTAGTCGACGGAGAGACGCTCCATGAGCAGAGAGGTGAAGCCAGAGCCGGTGCCCCCTCCAAAGCTGTGGAACACCAGGAAACCCTGCAGCCCCGTGCACTGATCGGCCTGCGGGGAGTTATGGGTACAGGTCATATTAGGGATGCAGGCAGTTAGTTGATGAATCAGTCGATAGTCTTAAGTGGCCAAATTTTTATTGCTAGACTAATTGGCTTATTAAAGTGGAACAAAACACTAAATCAACTTTTTACGCTACTAAACTGTGTGTACACAGTCTTTTAATAGCATTGTCTACTGTTCCTTGTGATTTTTGTTAATTTTAGTGCAAACTTAATGTTCTTTATAGTCACAAAAAAAAAAAGGGGTCCTTTCTCTGGTGACCATTGTAATTTTAAGTGCTTGGTGACATCACACAAAACTGATTAAAGCAAAGTGATTCAGATCACAAACACTTGGCTGCTGGAGTCTTCAGGCTACAGTTTGGGTCTTGTGCATGTTCAAATCATATCAGATAACCAATAGTTTGAAAGTTTTTGCCGCACCCTCTTTTTAGTCAACTAATCAGAACAACTGGGAATTCCTTTAGTCATAACTTGGGTGAAATATGAGATGTTTAAAGTGGTTATATGAAATGTTGACCCACCAGTTTCCGGATCCTGTCCAGCACCAGGTCGATGATCTCTTTGCCGATGGTGTAGTGTCCGCGGGCGTAGTTGTTGGCAGCGTCCTCCTTCCCTGTGATCAGCTGCTCCGGGTGGAACAGCTGTCTGTATGTGCCAGTGCGCACCTCATCTGTGGAGGGACACTTTTAGGTCAGGGCTGTTCAAATCATCTTTAAAATGTGCTTATGTAGGTCACAGGATAATGCAATCACTTTAGAAGCCACTGATATGTAATCTTTTATTTACATGGTTTAGCAGTCAATTATACTCCTAAACTGGCAGTATGTAGGCATGTGGGTTAGAGGGAGAACACATTTTGGAACAATAAAGTAGATTTCTTTGCTTGTTAAATGCCACTAAGTATATATATATATATATATATGCTAGATCATCATAGGCATGGTCATGAACCCCAATATATATAAAAAAAAAAAAAATCATTCAGCCCTAATATAAGTAACATAAGACTAAAACTTTAAAACTTGAAAATCAAAACATACGGATCACTGCTGGCTCAAGGTCCACAAACACTGCTCTGGGGACATGTTTTCCGGCCCCAGTCTCGCTGAAGAAGGTGTTGAAGGAATCGTCTCCTCCTCCCAGAGTCTTGTCACTGGGCATCTGTCCATCAGGCTGGATTCCATGCTCCAGACAGTACAGCTCCCAGCAGGCATTCCCGATCTGCACTCCGGCCTGGCCCACGTGGACTGAGATGCACTCACGCTGTGGAAAAAAATATGCATTAAGCGAGTGCCTGATTTGTCCTTTTCCAAATTCCAACCCTTTACTTTAGATGTCTACAAATGAGTGTTGTCAAAATACTCAAATTTAAATACTAGTGAAAATGCTTTACTTCAGATTATTACAGGAATAATTAGTAAAAAAGTACAAATTTGATCCCATTTGAGATCAACCCCCTTAGTATCACTACAAATGAGCATCTAGTTTTGATTAGTATCTGGGTATAGATTTTTGACAACCCACCTTTTAAAAATAACAAATGGCTTATATTACAGTCTAAAGTGGCTTGTGTAAGGTTTATTAATTTGGGACCCATAGTTTAGAAGGATTAAACTGGAATAATTACTGAAAGCTTTGTAATCCCCAGGGTTGATTGATCAAACAAAAGACCAAAGTCATATGAGAAACTTTGCCTGTGGTTAACTCACATGTTTAACACAGAATCTGTCTTCAGTGGAACTTTGTGTACAGTTCTCTATATGAAAGATCACAAGACACCAGTTCCCTTTAGAAAAAGAATCCTTTCCACTTCAGAAGGGCATTGGGAAAGTAAATGTGCCATTGTAAGGCTTTAGGCACCAGGAGAATAGATGTTTTGTGCGCGTGTCCTGACTGCATAAAAAAGATAGACATGTAAATTAAAGTGGCCACATCAATAGTCAAACCACTTCCAAAAGGTGGGTGGTTACGTTTACTCCTGGATACCAGAACTAAAAGGTCCTAGATTACACAAAATAGATTCTTGTGAACTTTAAGTCATGTTAGAATGTTGTTACCTCACCAAAAACAAACCCAGAGTTGTGTTTTATATCAGTTTCACACACACTTGAATATAATAATTTTTGCTTTTTTTGTCAGATTTGAATTAAAAGAAATCTGAAAAAGGTTCAAAATTCAACTACCCATAACAATAAATGTGTACTTCAACTTCCAACATGAGTATTTATTTTTCTAAGATGACCCTAAAGTAGGCCATTCCGCATCTCTGGTCTATAGCCATTTAAAATCACACGGTGTACATGAATAGTCTGACCACAAAAGACAAGTCAAACACATGTGGTCATTCTATAGAGCAGCCACGCCCGAACCCGGCGCTAAAACCCCGGAATGTGCCATGCGCAATATGTGCGCAATGCAACAGGTGCACTGAACTCCGCTAACTGGGTCAATGTGCGCCACCCCACCCTATCAGCAATCAGAAAACTATTCAACTGATGCGATGAGAGAAATGAAAGAGGTTTTCATTGCCTTTTTATGATTATAGGCTACAAATAAATCAAAGTCCTAATTGGAAAAACAAAGGTAGAATCCTAGTGGTTCCAAATTAAGGATGCGCACTGAATACGAGGTACTTGGGACGATTTCAGGTTTCAG